ATATTCAGAGAACAAGATGGAAAAACAATCAGTTACAGGAGCAAACATCATGCTGGCTTGAACACATATTTGTTGTTGAAGCTTCTCAGTATTTGAATCATGAAGTGGTCGCATCTCGCAAGCAGCTTCCTTTTATAAATATGAAAAGTGAAAACAAAAAAATGCCAAATTGAACAAAAATACAACTAAACGGATTCCTGAGTGATATTACAGCCAGTGTTCAAGAAGAATCTCTGCAAAAATGTCATTCTTTAATTATTTGTGAAAACAGGGAGCTGCTGAGTGCCGAAATGACAGTTTTTGTGCACCTTAGCATATGCTACTTCCGGTGGGGAAACTCCTGTAGAGTGCTTTGTTTATATTCGCTCCTTGTTTACGGTCGGGTTTTCCAAAACAAGTCAACCAAATGGATGAATCAAGCAGCGATTTACATTTCTCTAGATGTCTTGGGCATTTACTGAATATATCTGTAGATGATGTTCATCGTCTTGTCAATATTTTTTTTTCCCCGCGCCTCAGAGCAAAAGAGAGAAAGCATTCAAATGTTATATTTCTCAGTATTTGTATAGTGGTCCCTCGTTTATCGCAGGTGTCCAACAAGAAGTCCAACTTTTTGTGCGATGGTTAACATCTTCCTCTGTGTTTTGGGTGCTACCGCAGGTGCCTTTGACGACGGTGCAAAACATTTTGTCGACATTGATTTTGTTGGGGAGAAAACTTACTGCTAGTGATCGATGTAGCGATTCTGTCCTGTACAGGCGAGCTGGCACAGAGGAAGTCGACAATGATCTACAGCCGAACAGGCAACCTTCCGATTACAAGGCGAACTCCCAACTCTTGAGCCACGATCGCCCAAAATAGGTAAGTCACAAAATACCCTTGGTAAATACTAATATATAGAGACCCTTACCAGCATCATTTATTTACTTTTTTTATATCCTGTGGCTTTTTTTTTTTCCACGGTTTGTTGATATGATGTGTAGGTGTGTACTTGACTAGCTGATATCAACATAACGAGGGAAACATCTGGCTTTGACTATTGTTTACCTGTAGTTTGAATGCTGAACATTTGCCTGTTTAAATCATAAGAACTGTCACTATACAGAGATACTTCTGAATGTGGACGATGTGTCTTTTCATTTTGTAATGCAGTTCTGCTTGTGTTGAGTGATGTAAACAACCGATCAATCCACACTCTTCAAACGTTAAAATTGTTTTGTTTTTTTATGACACAGTAATGGTGAGTGTTCCCACCTTCTGCTCTTTGTAACTTAATGCAATCTTTCCGTTTTTGTATTTTGGACATGATTTTGTAGTCGATCTTCGCAGTAGCGATTGACTGCAAAGTAAAGCTACCGGAAATGTACAAACCCACATCCGGTCTCAAACCAGGAAGTTAGCATTTTCTTGTGCACAGGGTCACTTCACTTTTTTTACTTTCAACAGAGCATTTTATTTGCTGCAACATGGGACCTTTTCCTAGAGACAAAGTACGTACAAACTCCAAAACACATTTCTAGCTTGAACTGAACTTCCAAAACAGAGCTACTAGATCACTTAAATTACACAATTGAAAGCATGAAATCATATGTGTATTGTTTGTGTATTTATACACAAGCATTCATATATAGTCAAATAATTCAAAAAATAATAATGTTCATTTACCTGTTACTACCACACACCAAATCCGGTCGTTGGTACTTGCTGGCTTGTGTAGCCACTAGGTAACAAAAGTTCAACACTGCGCCCAGCATCCTGGAGCACTTCTGTTGTCTTTTGTACGTGTTTTGAGTTTTTATGTGCTTCTGAGTTTTTGCGTGTTTTGGAGTTTATATGTGTATGTATGTATGTATGTATGTGCTTTGTCTGTAGGGGCCACCGTAAATAGACTTATATTTATTCACTCCACATAAAATGTAATAAATAAATCATATAATACAAAAATCAACTATTCACATTTCAACTTTTAACTATTTAAATTTTCAGCTTTTTCCTTTTACAAATTTAAAGTGAAACAACACAAAACACTGCAAACCACAACACAATTAAATATAAATTATAATATGAAAACAAAAAGAACATGCATATTCTCTGTCATATGGACCTGCATGAATAAGAGCCATTTCGTTCGCGACCGACCCATCACTAGTGCATGGGCGGGGATTTCAGGTTCGCCAGTCCTGCAGTCTAAATGTGACAAATGCAGTTTCCGTCACCCAAAATATTTAAGCATGTACTTATTTACATCATAAACATACCTTGTGCCTTTATCAAGGGGGCTGCTAATAAAAAAATAAACTTCCATAAGCTCCATTACAGCACCCACACCAACCTCTCCCGATTGGCGCCAAAAAGCCGACAACAGTCATACAGGAAGTCCTTCAATAGCGTCAGGATTCAAAACGGAAGTGGGGTAACTCGGTTCAGTCCCATTCTGGGTCTCTTCCAATGTAAGTGAGACAGTGAATGATTGACAGCAGCCTTATCAAATCCAAGGCCAAGATAACAAAACGCAAACCGGTGTGCTGTACTGTCCTGTCAACACACCGGTGCACCGGCTCTTCCAACATAAACCCGTTCGTGTAGTCTGACTGTGCTTCATGAAACATGTTTGCTGTAACATCTCCGTGGCTCTGCTGGACTTTACTGTCTGTCTCCGTCGTGGGCTTTACCTGTGCGGGTGAGTTTGATTTTAAAATCCTATCGATCTATTTTCTACCCGCTTTTCGATGTTCGAGCTGCTTTAGTTTCAGCTGCTCACAGTGAGGACGCAGGTCTCCTGTCACCAAACTTTTCTGTCATGTGAGAAAGTGGATGTTAGTTTTTAGATGTACTCACACACGTTTACATAACAGTTTGTATAATGAAGCTGTGAAGAGTTTACTGTATAAGAAACAGTTTATAACCGCATTACTCATCCTCACCTGTAGAGGCAGCAGCTGGTGCTTTCATTCACTTTAAAGCGGTGTCAGACAAACATGGACAAACTGCTCTAAAGGTTTATTATTATTATTGATTCGTCCTTCCGACACTGCTGATAATACAAAATCTACATTTACTTCAGCCATCACTCCTTAAATCCCCTCAACTCTGTACTATTAACATGACTCACTGATGCCCCTCTGAGTGTAGATGGAGCGCATGCATAAAAACAGTAGGAACCTGGGTGACACTGCAGTGTAATATTAATGAATGCAGTACATGTTACTGTTATGACTCCTGAGCACGATTGAGTCAAAATGTTGATAAAAAATGTTGAAGTCTTTGATAGCAAATTTCTTTCTGTAACAATGGAAAACACAATCTAATATAAACATGTACAAACTAAGGAGAAACATTTGTGTGGAGTCCAACAACACATTATTTGCATTACAAATCACTGTGTGTACTTCACAGTTCATTTTATTGCCACATTTAGAGGACAGTGGTGACGCCTGAGGCAACAAATGTAAAACATTTCGTCAACCTTTATGTGAACTTCAGAAAACAGCAATCGGGATCGTTAATTAAGATGGATGTAAAGAGCACACTTCTGTTTTTGTGGTCAAGTACCTTGAAGTCCATGGACATCATAAAATATAAAACTGCACACATCATGTATAAACACATATAACGTTACCAGAAGATCATTGTCATATAGAGATAAGCAGTGTAGCCACATTTACCCATAATGAAATACTTTGGCTCGTGCTCCTCAGCTTTACATGAGCTTATAGAGGTATGCACGGACAGTTTATGTCCGACAATATTTTCACGGACCGGCCTTTAAAGTGTCGGAGATAAATACAACAAAATAAAACCAGTACCGCTACCAAAATAGAAGATTTATTCATAACACACGGCAAAAGACCCAGGAAAACCAAGTTAACAATAAAAAACAATTAAAAACCCTGAAAACCATCAATTTCCCACCCAAGCCTCAACCCCCCGTCCCAACCCCCCGGTACTGGGACGGGGGGTTGGGGAGGGCTGTGCTAGTTTACTAATGTTCAGGCGACGTTTGACACAGAAAACTCGTTGAAACCTGCTTTTGGAAGGATGTGAAACAGTGAATATAATCAGATAGTAGATCTAACTTACTCCCGAATTAGAGCTGTCATTATATTTATACATAGATGTTTTTATTTAGAGTGCATACAAGTGCTAATGATGGTGGTGAATGGAGTATGGATCGTAGTGTCGGGACCGATAAGCATGTGTATACTATATCATGTTTGTTTGCACATGTGTAAGTGTACTATATGCAGGTGAGAAAATTCAGGGCAGAGTCTGTTTGCCCAGAAATGCAGGTTTACAGAAGCTGGAGTTGAATATTTATTTTGAATATTTTGTACTTTGAATGATACACTGGCACAAACATGTATGTGTGTATTTGTGTCTGTGGTGTGTCTGTTGACCATTTACCCTGATGTGCTGGACCCAGCGTGTATACTTCTCTGCCTGTAGCTCCTCACTCTGATTGGCTGCTGTACAAGTGAACAGTTATACTCAGACTTCTGTATCCTCTCTGCTTTGTGTTGTTTCCTCTTTCAGACCATAAACCTATCACAGCTGAGTCTGGACAGAACATCACTCTGACATGTCGAGCTCCAAACAAGGACATCACTGCCATAGAGTGGAAAAGAGCTGACCTGGGAGAGGAATACGTCCTTGTGTATCGGCAAAAGCACTTTGATACCACCGAGCAGCATCCATCTTTTAAGAACCGGGTGGATCTGCAGGACAGACAAATGAAGGATGGAGACATGTCTCTGATTGTGAACAATGTGACGACTACTGATAATGGAACATATGAGTGTCGAGTCTACACAAGAGGAGAAAATCAAAATAATGCTCCAGAGACGCTCATATGCAGCATAAACCTGAGTGTTGATCCTCCAGGTGAGTGAGTAGAGTTGAGTGTGTGTGTGATCAGAGGTGAAGCTGCTTCCTGG